CTGTTATTTAGTTTGGTTCAAAAACCTACAAAATTTTCATTGCTTTCACTATAATTTATTTTTTTATTATTTAAGGAGCATTATAAATAGTTATGTTTTAAAAGAAAAAAAAACTATTACTGTTATAAATAACACATTCAATTGAACTAAACTGTGCATGCCTATTTAAATATATTTACACATGGCTTGTGTATATTGTGTATGTACAGATATATTATTCATACCTTCGGTGTATAGGACGCAAGCAGATTTTGGGGTAAAAAAGTGCGTCTTATATACAGAAAAATATGGTAAGTGAATGATGTAACGGAGATTCAAAAATGGTCACTTTCTTTTCTTATCCAATAAAAATTTGACTACAAAGAATATGGAGAATTTCTGCCAGATGAGCATGGTTGAATACCTAATATGGGCAAGGCTTTGACCCGCATGGGCCTATAGCAGTTCATCATCTGTTCACCTGCCTGAAAAAATTACACTAATTAACCCTTCCATTATGGGCTGGGTGCAATCCACCCAGCTCGTAACCATGAAAGTATCCATAAGTGTAATTATACTATGATTTTTGATAATGTATGCATTTCTCTACAAAATTTGGCTGGTTACAACATTACAAGGCTTTCATACACATAATATTAGGTTATTAAATTAAGTATTAAGAATTTTTAATTAAATATTTTCTTGTAAAATGTTTTATTTCAGAATGTTGACTATCCAACATCCAAAGTAATTTTGATTTTAAGATTAAAAAATACTTTTATGCATCAGAACATTTTTAAATTTCACATGGAAAATCTTTATAACCTCCAAATAATTATCAAATTTTGTTTAGAAAAAAACTTTTTTATCTGTTATTTTCATTACTGTATCTGTGTAAGAGTTGGTTCGATTTTACTGACTTTGTAACCTTCATAAAAAAAATTAGGAAATAAATGTAGATTATGCTTTTTTATTCTAGAATGACTACAGATTATAACACGAAAACACAAACGTTTAATCTAAATAACTTAAATTTCATAACATTATACATTTATACATATTTATTATTTTATTATATTGACCTTTCAGCTATGCCTGGCTAACATTATAGAAATTGGAAGGATGTGGAGCACGTGCACTTGTGATACCATATCCAGTAACATAAAACTGACTTTTACAAAGGAACCTGTATTGACTGTTTTAGTAGACTAGTATTTTGTAAAATACATTCACATTTCAGTTTTAATACATTATATATGTATATACATTATTACTGTTTAAAATAAGTTCTTAAATTTCAGTTATTTTTCTTAAAACATAGAACAGTAAATAAAGAATTATAGAAAATAATTATCTCTTCTAGTAACTAACTTTAAACTCGTTTGCTGCTTGCCATAGATTGCTAAGCCATCTCAAATTTCGCACGTGGAGGATGTGAAACAACTGTTTTTAATACTGACTGACATTGTAGTTCTAAATTTAGAAACATTGACATTACTTTAATTTTTAAAACTTGAAAGTAAATATAGCATTTCTTAAAGCTGCAACAGATCACAGTTGTGACTACTTCTATTTTAAATTTAACTAGTTTCCTGCAGGGACCTAACATTAGGTAAACGTAAGACAAACTGGTTTTATCAGTCCAAGCATCATTCATTTAGGAATTCGGATTAAGAAATTAGCACACAGGATCACATGCAACAGTCGTAATGGTTTTCAAACTCGAGCGCTTTCAAATAGTGAACAGCTCAAAAGCACTTGAGTTTTGGGTCACGCTTGAAAACCATTCACTCAGAAAGATATTAATTTATCTCTACCAAATGACAATTGCTTGAAGTATAAATGAAAACCATATTTTCCTGCAATAGCCCAAAATAATATGCTTTTTGTATCATAATTTAGTATGTATGAATACCTCCTGCGAAATTGTTACTCATGGCACCATGTGAACAATGCCCCTTTATATGACTTTTCACAAGCATGATAAAATTCTCTAGTTTTACTGTTTTAATTGTGATTAGATGATGAGTCAGTAAACAATGCTGGAGATATGCTAGTATGTGTGAATTAATATTTTTGCTGATATATTCAAACTCTGAAATATAAGTAACTTTCATTATAAAAACAGTGGACCAAGATCGTTAGGATTGGAAGTATAAGAATAAACATTAAAAAACTGGATCCATGTTCAGATGTGTAGTGCATGGGGATAAAGTGCTTAATTTTATCCTACTATTATAAACTGAATAAATGTGAACACAGAGTGTATGCAGTACTAAGGCAGTGATGGATTTCTTACTAACAGTCTATGGTTTATAATCTGTTATAAAGATATACATATATATATGTAAAAGGGTAGAAATTGACTAAAAATGTGTCAAAAAATGATTATAATTTGAAGTTTTAGTTATTCATTTATTTTCATAGATAATTATTGTGATTTAAAAAAAATATTAACCAAGAAGCTGGAAAGAAACAAAATCCTGATTATGGTTGTATCTAATATTCCTCCTCCTATGTTTTTGACAGCAAGAATGACAAATTTATTTGGGTTTTAGTATTTACCAACTTTTTATTAAAATACTGTCACTTAATGTAATAGATTCCTTATTCCTCCTCAGATTTGACTCGGAAAGCACAATCTGTTTATTTACTTCGATTTGTTCTGTTGTTGTTTTTACAACACATTCACAAAGTTAACCTCTGTACATCATCTACCTCCAGTTTGTGGGAAGAGTATCCTTAAAAGAAGGTGTTTGCGAGAGAGATCTAAAACACTCCAGTAATAAATGAGGGTTACTGGAAATTAATAGATGGTACCAATGTTTGGTGCAAAAGAATTTATTTGAATCACTGAAATGTTTATTTAATGGTTGATTAATTTTATCTTTGTATTATTTGTGCATATATCAGAGTTCAACTATAATAAATTGTGGCAATATTGTTAACATGCAGCATTTTGAAATACTACTGAAGTTACTCTTAGAAAGAGAATACATAGTAAACTGGTAATATAATGTATGAACTTTACTGTTTATTCAAACAAAAACCAATAGAAATAACGTTCATTTTATAAAATTGCATGGTTTATATTTTGAAATATATACTATGTAAGAATAGTAAGACACTGATTTCGATCATTATTTAGTCTAACATCAATGTGGTAATTTTTCCATAACTTTTAAATCAGATGGCCTGTGGAAACAAAGAGGGATTTATCACCAATAATGGTAGGCCATCTTAAAACTAAAAACTTGGCTAAGTTTACTATTATAAGATCATTACATGTATATTAACCTTTAAAAGCTTGTATGTGTCTAGATCACTGTAGCAAAGTTGATTAGGATCTTGCAGCATTCTCTTAAAACACTTCTGGAGCTTTAATCAAACTTTGTTTTCCTGTAGATTTTTCCTTAATTTTAAAGTATGGTTATATCGGGTACAGTGAGCTGATTAAGAATTAAAGTTATCTATCGAAACACATCAATTACAAATAATTTGTACTTAGATTATATATAACTGAGAGTTTTGTTTTGTAACTCTGAAATTTCTTTATACAGTACAAGTCATGTTGGATTAATGAGTAAAACCACCGCATCTTCCAGTAATAATGTTGTATCATGTTGGATTAATGAGTAAAACCACCACATCTTCTAGGAATAATGTTGTATCATGTTGGATTAATGAGTAAAACCACCACATCTTCTAGAAATAATGTTGTATCATGTTGGATTAATGAGTAAAACCACCACATCTTCTAGGAATAATGTTGTATCATGTTGGATTAATGAGTAAAACCACCGCATCTTCTAGGAATAATATTGTATCATGTTGGATTAATGAGTAAAACCACCTCATCTTCTAGGAATAATGTTGTATATACAGATTAAATAACTTATACAACTTGTATTTAGTTTAACTTTGTTTTCTCCAGTTCTAACTTTGATAGCATTATTGATGCACATGTTAAAATATTTAAATTTTAGTAGTATTTATTTGTATAAAACTGTAACTTTAAAAAATAATTCATGGAAAATCTTATTACTGTAAATTTTATATAGTACATATAATCACAGATTTGTAATATTTTTATATACATAAAGACACATTATTAAATTATTTTAATATGTTGAATGAGAGTGGTTCTGTAGTCAATTAATATAATTGGAACTATTAAAATAAACAAAGTCTGTGTGTTATTTTAATTAAATGTAGCTGGTTTTTAATTTCTAATTTGCCTTCTAAAAATGTTTTTTTGCTTTATATTTCGTTCATTGTTAAATGTTATGTCATGTCTATAAGAATGTGTTTCACATTAAGTCAAGGGTTAACTTTTTTGTGTTCTTTTAATCAAAGAAACTATTTTCATTGTGCTGCTCCCATCTCGGGTAGTGTTTTAAAACTTTTGACATAATGTACATATTTTCTTTTTTGTTTTCATTTGTTTTTGAATCTCTCATTTCCTTAGCATTCAGAATTTGTGTGAAGGTAACAAGAAATGTATATGCTAAATGTTATGACTAATTTCTTCTCTTGGAAGCCTGAAATTGTTGTTTGCTTTCTTCTGTTTGTAGAGCGAAGAACGGAAACAACTGAACTTTGTTTGGTCCAGGTTGGAGGAAATGATTGAAATATTACAAGGTTGGTTGGTTGTGAAATGTGTGAAGCTGGTTATTGTGATGGGAAAGACGTCACTTTTTTAATACTAAAAGTTACAAGTGTAACATATCCTATTTTTAACCACTTCTCTGTGGAGAGATATACAACAGAGCAGTTATTTGCACTGACTAAAATATTGCTTAATATGTTTTAAAACATGTTCTCCATTTACATATACACATTAGGAGGGTAGTCCAATTTCATGAAGTTTATAAGATTGGATTAAACTCTTCTAATAGTGAAATGCAACTTGAGAATAAGAAGTCATTCGGAATTGTAAGGTATTGGCTCTTGGGCAAGATGCTTTCTTTTATCAGCTCGTTGTTTAACTAAGACAATTAAAAAATCTTGGTTAATTTCAGTTAGTTAAATGCTGTTTTTGCTGATATTTTATTCATTGCAACAGTAGAAAATATTTTTGGTTTCAAATGATTCATATAGTGATTGAAATGTTAGTTCTGAATGAATTTGTCATAGCAGTTGTTTAGGCTCTTTGTTTAAAACAATAGCAGAAGTACTGTTTTCAAGATTTCTGAAATTATTAAGACATTATAATACAATAGAAATATGAATACATGGGGGATGCACATAAAAATCCAGCAAGTGAAAAATTTCATCAATTTACCCTATAGGACAAGATATCAAAGAAAGCCTAGTAAACATCCAACAATAGGATGGAACTGTAAAACAATTTTGGAAATCAAAATCTTAAATTAATGTAACTTTGTAAATTATAAAGACATAGTTTAGTTCTAGAACACTAAAATAGCAAAATATGTTTTTTTTTATCTATTTAAAAGTTGATAAAAGTATATACACCTATTATTGTTTATCTTCTATGCAATAATGGAAATTGTTCTATAAAGATATTTCAGTTGTGAAAAACGTTTAGCACTTCATTGTTAATTGCTTTCTGTCATGTGCTCGTGACGGCTTAATACAAAAGCAGTGGTGTTGTTTTTATAATAAATAAATAAATATGTAAGAACATGTAAGGCAGGTTAAATTAGCCAAGTAAACACTTTCATCTACTTGATCTATGGGACTTTGATGACTGCTAAACTAATGATAGCTGATTAATTGCAAAGTAAAAAGGGGATTTGATGTGAGTTTGCCGTGTGTTGAGCTATTGTATTAAAATAAGCTATTGGATGTGTTGACATTTATGAACAAAGTAATTTTCCTAAAAGGTGTTGTGATATAAAACGTTAATTTTGTCAACATAATCATTGCTTGACTTGTTACTCTATCTGCAAAAGATGCTACTTTCTTTTAGAATATTAATAAACACTTCACAGTATGTGTTTTATGATAGAGAAAATGAGGTTTTCTGGAAAATTTACAAATTACTCAAGTTACAGAAATTATGGATATTTGGTTAATTAATATTTCGGCTAGTATTATGTAACTTATAGCTGTAACCCTCCCCCCCAATCTTATATAGATCTTAGTGACTGTGAATTAGCATAAAATATATTAATTGCTGTTTTCCGATGTGATATATGATATCAATATCATTGCACAAAGGGCTAAAGAAATTCTACAGCATCTTCTTTCATATCTGTATTAAATACACCAGCCTAAATAACAGATTGATAACTATGCACATTGTTTTATATAAAAACAATCAACTGATTAAAAACAAATTGTTTCTTTCTAAAAAATACTCCATCATATAATTAAATTGAAATTATTTTAATGTTTATTCATTATTCGTAAGTCTCAAATTCTTATATATTTTAATAAAGATTATCATAGAACTTTGTTTTAAATATAGACAACTGTGATGACATTGGAGTGGAAGAAGAAGTGGTTGAGGCACTAGGATTGGTGATTGAAGGCTCCTCTGGTTTTGATAAGTAAGAATAGATCTTACATAAGTTTCTGTTTTAAAAAATAGTATTTATTTCTTTTCTTTAGATAAACAAATAATAATAACTGTGGAATATCTGCAGTTATTAACTAGATATTAGTTGCATGCAAAATTTTACAGTTCTATTTAAATAGTATTTGTATATAACTTTTGACAATTTTTTTTTCTTTAATTAATTAAACCTATAAGAATGAAGTTGGTTGATTTTGACATATATCTTTACATAATTTGGCAGTATTTCAGGAAATATTAAAAGTCTGTTGTACTAAAAGAATTAAAGTTTTTCAATAAAGTATTTCTACTAAAAGTTTACCTGTAAGTTTCCAAAGTTTTTATTGAGTTTAGTCTGAGTAGAAGGTGATACTTCTATTCTTCTTGCAATTTTCATATTTTCTTTACTCGTAGACCCTCCTAAATGAATATTGATTGTTTTTTCTCTAACATTAGCTGTAGAGAAATTATTAACGTACAGTGAAATAAAAAGCTGAAAAATATGAAGTGGGATGAATAATACCATTTTTTCCTCTGTATTCACTACAGTATTGATCAGAATGTTCAAAATTACAGTGTTTTAACACTGCAGTAGAGACTCCTTAATGAAATATTCTGTAATTGTTGCTTGTTTAGCAGGCTTATTTACATTATTGTTTTATAATTGTTCTTATCTTCCTCGCTGCGATAATATCATTGTAATCCAACTTCAATGTCCCTTGTAATCTGAGATGGCATCAAGATACTGCAAGCCCACACTGTCACTTATGTGCTCACTACCTGACTCTTTTACTTCATTATCACTGTCATGGCTGTAGTCCTCTATCTTCCCCCTTTGCTGAAGTGAACTTACGATGTCATAATCATTCATGTTTGGAACATGGTTCAAATTTGTCACTTTCAAAACATTCCCTCAGTTTCTTTTCGATTAACTCAAGTTTTTGTTTTATTGTCAGTACAACTTTCTTTCATTCTTCAGCTATCTTAACTAAGGCTTATAACGCTCCAGTAATATGGCCACACTGAAACAACTGTACGAGACTTGACATTGAATTAACAACAAGACCTGTGCAGTAAAGCACTGTAATCAACATGTGAGAAGAAACAATAATAAAAAAATTATTTGTTTTTTCTTCTTTGTGGATAATTTACAACAAACATAATCAGGAGTGTTTCTAATTGGTTGGAAACTGCAACAATCTATTTTAAACACTTGAAAATTCTCAGGAGGATAAATCGAAGCTCAGGGGCAACATTTGATACAGAATAATGAAGATGGTGGTATTTTTGAATATATATTTTTTTTATTTATTAAGAAGTTAAAAACTTAGATAATATCAGAATTTGAATTACAAACTACATTTTCTCGTCAAATTTTTTACATACATTGATAATAAAGTTGTTTGTAGTTTGAATGTGACTCTGACTGGTTTGTATATTAAAAAAATTAATAAGACATTGGAAAAATAACTGAAACACAAAGTTAGTAATTGCATGATACATTAACAGATGTTTTGTTTTATCAGTTTGGAATATCATTTGTAATAATAAAGACTTGTCAGCACCTGGTTCTTATATCTGGGTGTTTTGGACAATGTTGTATTCATGAACTGTCTTGCAGTAGATGTTTTACCCATTATTCTCACCCCTACTTCTGTAAATATCTCTAATTGTAACTCATCTGGCAAGACTAACCAGTGGATCTGTCCTTTACAAAACTGTGTTTTTTCATCCCAAGATTTCTAATTGTTAGGGTATGAGTTGGCCCTGTGGTAGAACTCTCGATTTTAGACCTGGATGGTGGGTAGTAGGGTGCTGCTGACTAGCTGCCCTCTCTCTGGTCAGTAGTTGAAAGTTAGGGATAGTAGTTTTTATCATAAATAAAAAATACAAATTCTATATGTTTCTTTGGCCAGTTTGTCATCTGGTTTCAGAGAAAACAATTCATTTGTTTATTTTTTTATTCTTTCAGGTACTGGGATGCAATTTTTCTCATGTTTTTTATCTTCTATGAAGTTTCCTTTGTATAAAATCTACTTAATGCAACTTCTTGTTTTTGGTGAATGTAATTTTTAGGTTTTACGTCAGTGTTATAAGGATATTCATATTTACTGTGAGTCAGGTGTGGTCGTTGTTTTCAAGCTGCAGACGGCTTAGTAACAGATCTTTGAAATAAAAATAAAGAAAATTTGACCACTGTTGTAAAGTCTACAGGCTAACTGGGCATTGTGTCATCTGTTCAAAATCCGAGTCCTAATAACCTATGTTCACTGTTCCTACGATCTTCAGTCACGAGGCATGATTTTTCTAATTCAATAGAGAAATGGTTAACATTATAAAGTGCTCAAGTTTGATTATTTGGAAGCTTGTATGCCCAGTTAACTTCTTGGAAGGGACTTAGCTACGATTTGTCAAAGCTACTTGATTGTAAAAAAACAAGTTCAATTACAGAAGAAAAAAAGAGGTTTCAAGAATGCACAAAAGTGATTAATTATATGTACCGCAGGAAGTGTAATATTTACATTCCACAATACGCTCAATGTTGTGGTGAAAAACAGTTAAGTATGAAGTATTTAACTAGTATAAACTTTTATATGAATGAGCTAAGTAACTACATCGTTTTGTTGTACAGAATTAGTAAAGAATGTATTGTTTTGATCAATACATTTCTGATATTACTTATTTTTTCAGTAGATCTGTGCTACCACTGAAAGAGTTGACTTCTCAGAATGCAAACCATGCAGCTACGGGATATTTAAAGGTGAGCACAATACTGTGAATATATTACCAATGGTATAAAGTCTTGACTGTGTTGGCCTCATCTTTGTGTTCTGTTAGAACTATAACTGGTAACTAGTAGATGTGTAAAGTAAACCATTTCAGTTTAAGTTAACTACAAATTAAATTTTTAATCATCACATACATCTAATGCATATTTTATTTTTCAGAAGTTTACTGCGTATTGGAGGGATTTAGACATTTTGGCAAAAAAAAAGTTAAAGAGAGAGAAAGAAAATGACACTTACTCTCAAGATAATAAAGTTTTATTTCTCAGCCAACGGTTCAACCTTACATCTTCATCGGGGCTAGCAGCACAAATATTTGTACTATTAGCCCTAATGAAGATGAAACATTGGCTAAAGTAAAATATTTTTTATTATTATCTGGACAGTAAAGATTGCTATTGTTTATCTAAATAAAATAGATCATTAAAATACTTTTAAAAGGGCATAAGTAATATTCAAATAGCTAAATCAGAAGGCAAATGCTAAATTCAGAACCCTAGATTTTTTTACTGCTAGGTCAGCTCACTGAGGCTATAGTTTCTAGTTCTTGACTTTGTATGAGTATAATTTAGATTCTAAATTTCTCATGCCAAATGATGTGTGCCTCTTTATATGGTAAATTTATTTATTGTTTTCCAACTACTGAGCCAAAATTTTTGAATTTCAAATTTTAGCAGTTGAAAGAATATACTGATACACGGAGGTTTTTTTTTTTATTCATGTTATACCCATCATACTTGTTTTTTCATTTTGTATTAGACAGTGAAAAACTTCAATATGAGTTTTTCCTTTTTTGTTGAATGAGACTTGGTGGCTCAATGGTAAGTTGAGAACTTGTAATGCTAAAATTCAGGATTTATTCTCTGTCATGGACATGGCATAGATAGATAGCCCATTGTGCATATTTGAGCTTTAACAAAATTCAGTTTTTCTAAAATTTGGTACACCTAGGACTAAGAGACACAAATATAAATTTTGGCAGGGTAGGAGTCATCTTCAGCTTAAGACAGTTTTATTTTTCTAACAGGGTGGTTGGCCTTTGGAATGGGTTGCCTTCAGATGTTGTGGAAGCAGTAAATTTAAATGAGTTTAAGAGAAAGCTTGATAAGTATGTGAATGATAAGGGCTGGCTTTAAGATGTTTTATTTATTTACTTATTAATAGTTTTAGTTTAGTTTAGAAGATGGAACAGCTGAGATTTGATCAATAGGTCCCACACTGTTCCAAAATGTTATGTTTTCGAGGTAACTTGCAAAAGAGTTTTTTTTTTTTCCACTATGGGAATATTGTTTTTTTTTTTTACATAATTGTATTTTATAATTACATAGTAAGATATTGTGTATTCTTAAGTTACTTTACATAATTTTAATGGCAAAAGTAATTTCCTACAAAAAATGTAAAGACTTTTACTGTAATGTGTTAAATTCTGCTTCAAACTTCAGTTTTTATAATGTGTACTTCCTCTTAGCAAACTTAATATAATAGCTACTATAGTCATAGTCATTCAGAAGTGTAATAAATGAATTATTGGATCTGAAGAGCTTTCTGACATAATTATTTCCCGAGTTAACTTCACTTAAGAGCACTTTTTTTCCCAACAAATTCCTCTTCTAGTTAATTAAAACTAAGCAAGATATTTACCGAACTAAATTGCTGCAGTTTTCGGTGTTACTATGAAAGATTTTCAGCCATTTTTACAATATTTACAGGATCCTCTGAGGATTGTCTTCTCAGTTCAGACATGTATTTTTATAGATGGGCATTGCAGTGTTCGAAAAGTTATGGATTTTAAGCTTATTGTATAGTTTAAATTATTAGAAATTCCAGATGGACAGTGGGAACACTTCCAATGATTTACCAACTTTAATTCACTTGCCTATTTGGGAATTTTATTATTATTATTTTTTAAATTTAATCTTTATGTTTTTTAGCATTATGTACAGGTATACGTTATTGTAATATACATTGAAAACATGGATGTGCAGTGCATTATAATACATTTATAATTTTCTGCTATTTCATAAGGAACATTTCCACTCTCTTTAAACTTTTAGGCAACCCAGTCATACTGCTTCAAGAAATTAACCAACTGGATAAAAGTCCATCTTGGATCCAATCCATTTGGAGTACAGTTTTGTCTAACACAAGGATGCAGTTTGTCGTGGCCAGGTCAAGGTTAGACTTTATTTTCATGAACAGTTGTTTTCTGTAAGTATTACAAAATTGTAAGAACAGTAAATATTATTTAGGTTTACTGATTACTAAAGCTAATAAAAGAAATCTGAGCTAATGTTACTTTTTAAAAATGATTTATTGACTGATCAAATCCAAATAATTCTTGCTGGTGAAATGTTTCACTACTTGAAGATGGAAGAAAAAAACAACAACAATAAATCGAGGTTAGACAGCAAGAGAGAGAGTTTTAGTCCTTCACAGATGATTGCAGATTCAATTTACATATTGTGGTTTCTACCTCAGGTAATATAAATATATACAGTTATGGATCAACAAATTCATAATTATGTTTTGTTTATAATTTTTTCAAACAATACAAAAAATTGTTGAAGAAAAAACTAAGTCTGGAAAGTCTGTCAGGAACTTACTTTTTTAGTATATGTACTAATGTAAATACCTGAGTGTGTTGGGCTAAGGATTCTTCTACGGTAGGTGTCTGTGACTTGTTGGTGATAAATGAACGGCACGCACACCACTTGTTTTTAAAGTAATATATGTATTCGAAACAAGTTAAACATATGTACAGAATTATTTACACTATGGAGATCATAGTTGTATCTTAAACACTATTCAGTTCACTTCTTATCAAAAATCCACTTAGGCCAGTTCAATTGCTTTAGAATTCAGTTGACAAGCCAAACTATTTTTCTCTATTTTTATTGCAGTAGTATTTGTTTATAATTCACTTGCGTTGTCACATGAGTTATTGCAGTTGTAACCTGAACTTCCTATAATCGTCTGCTTTTTGTAATTCCAATAATCATCAATTAGTTTAGAACACCCTTTGATAAGACAAATTATTTTCCTTATCTCTTTCAAACTGTTAATCTCACTCTAACATATCTGCTGTTAGTCCATTCACTCCCACAATGGTTAACTTTACATTTTTTTTAACTTTTCTGTTTAACTTTCACTCTCTGTTTTCACTCATCTGGTCAGAGCTATTTATACATCTATCACTTAGGCCTTGAAGAAATCTCCATAGCCTCAACATCAATGGATTGAATACAACATTCAATAGCCTTGACATCAATGAATTACCAACACAAAATTAATTAATTAATAATATTATGTACACTAAACAGTCTTTTATATCTGACAAAGCCCTAAATGTATATTTAGGCTTTAATATAAGATAAAGTAATACAATAATGTTGTTAAAAATATCATCTCTTTAAATTGTCTGAAGTGATGTACATCAAATAGATTAAGTTAAGATGTCATTAATAAAAATTCTTGTTTGAAATAATAGTACTGAAAATTTTTGTTAAGTGTTTCTTACTTTGAGTGATGAAAGAAATTTGTTATTATTTGTTCTAATATGAGTTTGAATATCATTGAAAGCTGTAAAAGTGTAACTACTACTAACGTGCTGTATCACAAATGCAAATTATTATATTTTATGTTTACCTTTTTTCAAAATGTTCAACCTTACTGTCAATCATTGAAATTTTAAAACATTGGATCTCCACCCTTTCTTTCCTCATGAACTTGTATCATCATCCAAAAACAATGGACCCCTGTACTCCGATAAACCTATCTGAGGAAGCTAATACTTTTTCCTGTGAAAACAACCCTTTATTTCCTCATGGACTTGTTTTGTCAATCAAAAGAAATCTCATGGACTCCTATACTTCGATAAACCTATCTGAGGAAGCTAATACTTTTTTTCTGTCAAAGCAGCATTAATGTAACTAAGTATGGAAATTAATGAAATTTTCAAAGAAAACATAATGTTGTTTATTTCTTTCTTTTTTTTTTTTAAACTATTATACGAGTCCACAGACCACAGGTTGAGACCTACAGCTGTAAAACAAATATTCAGTAAAGTTAATTCATATCTAAGAGAGAGGCTGCTAATGCCAATGAGGGTGTTTTAATCATCTTTTTACACATGTCAATGTTGTCTAAAATAGCAAGGTAAAACATCTTAGGCTTAAATCTTTTAGAACAGATAGGAAAAACTTGCATTAACCCATGCGTTACTTTAAGCTTGGACATCGTAGACTTACCTTTAATTTTCTAAAACAAATAGGAAACACTTGCGTTAACCCATGTGTTACTTTCAGATAAGGACCTCTTAGACTTATCTTAAGATAAAACCTACAGTAATGTAAACTACCATGTGATTAACTCGCATGTTACTTTAAGCTAGGACATCTTAGGCTTACTTTAAATATTATAGAACAGGTAAGAAAAACTTGCATCGACAATCAATGGGTAAGTAAGATTCCAAGTGTGTTGAACAAAGATGTGTAAAACTGATGAAATATAAGACTTAACTGAAAGTTACTCTTTCAATCTGATGAAATGTTGAATTAATGTGATGGGGAACAACTTGTAATTTATTCGATTACTGCTGGCTGCCAGCATGTAATGTATGGTATTCACACAATATTTCTTGTGACTTTTAGCTAGTTGAGACTAGTACTTTTCTTGGGAATAGAAATGCAAATAATGAACCTAAATTGCAATGTACACTATCTCCCATTGTAATTATCCTTTACTGTGAACTAGATTATGGTCTAAGTTAAACTTCTAAAATTTTTTGATAACCTGTGATTTACATTTCACTGTGTAATATAACATACTGTCCTTCCAGAAAAAAGAGCTCAGGAAGATAAGGCTACTCCTCCCAGAACAAGTTTTATGGCCACCAATATTCACTTAAATGTGCGAACTAAAAAATTGGTAGTACTATCACAGATTTGCAAACAGACATTAGCACGGGTAAGTCTATAAGATGTAGTAATTGTGTTCCACATTCTAGCAGATCCTAGTCCATAAAAACAGACATTAGCACAGGAAATTCTGTAAAATTTAGTAATACTGTTCTATATTCTAGCAGAGATTAGTCATAAAAACAGACATCAGCACAGGTAATTCTGTAAAATGTAGTGATCAAGTTCTATGTTAGTCTGTAAAAATAGTCCTGTCTCAGTGTTACAACAAAATATCAACATGGTTGATTCTTTAAAACAATAGTAGTCCCACCTCAGTTACAACAACACATTAACACTGTTGATTCAGTAAAAAAGTTAATAGTCCCACCTCAATTACAACAACATATTAATACTGTTGATTCAGTAAAAAAGTTAATAGTCCCACCTCAATTACAACAACATATTAATACTGTTGATTCAGTAAAAAAGTTAATAGTTCCACCTCAATTACAACAATATATAATATTGTTGATTCAGTAAAAAAAAAGTTAATATCCCATCTCAGTTACAACAACATTCTAACACTGTTTATTCAGTAAAAAATGTATTATTCCTACCTCAGTTACAACAACACATTAACACTGTTGATTCAGTAAAAAAAAGTATTGGTCCCATCTCAGTTACAACAGCACATTAACACTGTTGATTCAGTAAAAAAAAGTATGGTTCCCATCTCAGTTATGACAACACATTAACACTGTTGATTCAGTAAAAAAATTAGGAGTCCTATTATAGATTTACAAATGGACATTAAAACATTTAAGTTCAATAAAAAGTAGTGGTTAAATCCCAGGTTTGTGGTTGAATTTTAGTAGCACTGACGAGTCTACAGGTGTGGTAATGCTATTTTAGGTTATAAATCGGCCACAAATATTTTATTGTAATCATTTGTTTAGTTTAGTTTATTTTTTACAGTTTCTAAAAATTTGATTTTCTTTCTTCTAGCCATGTTTTTGTTCGCACATATGCGAGATGAGGTTTTTTACCTTTCTTAAATTAATGTAAATCAGAATGTTATTAAACATATTAACTTCCTGTTGCAGTCATCTCTCTTTGTTCATAATAAGTGTTTGTGAACTTTGAAATTATCCTAACATTAATTAGTGAAATTATTTGCAACATTGATAGTATTTCTGTGCATGACTCTTAGGCTTTTAAGGACTCTGTACCCAAGAAAGGCATGGATCCACAAGTAATTGGTGCAGAAATTGGTAAAAAG